TATATATGTTGGTTTGACTTATGGTGATGCATGTTTATAGGAGTACATGTCAGAACCATAAAGGACAGTCATGCAGTGAGTCAAAGGTGAATCTTGACATAGAAGTGCAAATGTGTTAGTTAGGAGGGAAACATTAATATTCACAAATTTAGCAAAATGCATGGAAGTTGCAACAGAATCTCCCTTCCTTACGTTGTATTACTCCACGCTTTGACCACCTTTTCTTCCTACATCATGTCATATTTTCTCTTATATTTTTCCATATATAAATTAACTTCCACAGCCACAAAAATAACATTAACATTATACAAAAGCAATAGAAAAACAACAAAACCACATCAAGCAAACGAGTTTACGAGCTTCTGGACCTCGTTTGCTTTCACTTTCTCATAACCTTATTACCTTAATCAACTATTCATAAGTTGCACTTTCTGCACAATATACTTTCTTTTGTAATTAATCTTTTTTGGTTTTCACGATGGAATGGTCTTCAAAATCTGCTTCAAGGGCATACCTTGATACCCTTCAACTGGTAAATATTCATCTTTCTTTTTTCTTTATTATTATTATTATTTTATGAATCAATTCAATCAAGGTGGTCTTATCTTCTGTTCTATCCAATGTGCTTCACAATTCTTTCCCTTGTCTTTTTTATCACAAAATAGTGTGAAACAACATACTGAGGAATTATCGATCAATCTACACATGAAAGATAAATGAATATCATTAATAAGATTCTTAGTTACATATATAGTGTAAAGATAACTAGTATAGAGACATAATGATCTAAAATCTTACATAACATTTTTTAAATTCTGCAGCAATATGCTTTTCTATTGTTTTTTTATTGTTCATTTCCATATCAGTTTGAATCAAATATCATAAGGGATTATAATTACTTGCTTCTATTTGTTAATGTTCATATAAATTGTAAATTACATTGTTCTCATATGGATGTAGAAGAGTCTTGAGAAGAAATTTCATACCAGATTAACCAATAATAATATACAGACAGATTTGTTTTCACATTCTTAAATAATGTGGGACTATTGGATAGGATAAACAAACTTAAAACTTTAAAATAATGAATTTATGGGTGGTTTTTTTTTATCTTGTTTAACATTATCATTTCTGTATGATGTGAAATTTTGACTTGTAGCTATTATTCTTAACAATTTTAAATAAGGTTTAGTTAATGTTTTGTTAATGAATGTGTTCAAATGACATTAATATTATGTGTTGGGTTTCAGGTGGACAAAAAAATAAGATGTATTTTGTATTATAGAAATGAATTAAAATCTAATTTTTACAATTGAAAAATTAGTTAAAATGAAATTTTATAAAATGGCTTTAGAATGTATCCAAAGATTTGAAGGATATTATGTTTGATTATTTTACAGTGCGAGAATAAAAAGAGAGAAGATGGGATTTGGAGAGTTGGAAATCCTGAAAGCAATGAACTTATATCAGCATTAGCAGCAGGAATGAAAGCAAAACTGATAGTGGAAGTGACTTCTTGTGTGTCCCTTTATACCATAGCTCTAGCAGTTGCTGCAAGACAAACTGCTGGCAGATTCCTTTGTTTTATCCCTAAATCACTCCTTCGTCAATCCAAAGAAGCCATCATGAACTCAGGTCTTGCAGACCAAGTAG